CAGCTGTCGCGAGTGCCGCTTGTCACGCTGGTCGACAAGGCTAATGTGACATGTTGGAGCACAGGGAAGAATCGCACAGAATCGTGATAGTCTTCAATATAATTTGTTCAATACCTCTCTCTGTCTCTCTGTCTCTATATATATTCAGTGCACACATCTAAAGGTGAATACCACTCAATACATCATTAGTCCACAGGTCATACTACACATCTAGGAGTAAGACGATCTCTAAACATACCCAGCAGTAGTAAAAAGCATAAAGCATAAAGGCATAATCTGAACACTCATGGCTAAGGGTGTAATATGAATGCTGCGTTCTCAAGGTTTGTATCACAGTCAAAGGCCAAAGTCTCCGTTACCACTCGGACGGATCTCAGAACAGTCACTTACGGGCAGTAGTCATAGAATGGCTGGGACTCTGGGCAGTAGGCTTGGAGTTCCAAGACATATGGCAATGGTGAAGGGTTGGAGAAGTTGCCTATGCTGTCGCCTGGGGCAGGGGTCCATGTCAGCTCTGGCAACAGCTAGGACTTCCATGCGGGGTTGGATCCAGCGGAGTAGTGAGAGTGTTTGGCAAGATGCGGCGGATCCACTTGGTCATCACTGGCAATGAGCCATGGTTTCCCGAGAGGATGGAGAGCAGTTGTGAGGCTGGCTTTTTACCCCTGCTCTGGGGTAGGTGGGTGGTGATTGTGCCCTAGGGTGTCACCAATCACAGGCCCATCCTTTTTGTGTGTCACCAGCCAGGTGTTGGATTTTGGGTGTGACCAGTGGTGTGTCAGGGGTCTTCTGGGTGTGACCGATCATGGTGCAGTAGTGTGGGTGAAGTAGTGTGGGTGAAGCAGCTGGTTGGTTGCTGCTTAATGATGCAATGTCTCCCTGTCCTTACCATGCTTCAGCACCTGTGTCTTTTTTTTTTTTTTAAAGATTTATTTATTTGAAAGTCAGAGTTACACAGAGAAGAAGCAGAGAGAGGTCTTCCATCCTATGTTTCACTCCCCAGATGGCTGCAACGGATGGAGCTGCACCCATCCGAAGCCAGGAGCCTCTTCTGGGTCTCCCACGTGGGTGCAGGGCCCAAGGACTTGGGTCATCTTCCACTGCTTTCCGAGGCCATAGCAGAGAGCTGGATCGGAAGTGGAGCAGCCGGGCTTCGAACCAGCACCCATATGGGATGCCGGCACTTCAGGCCAGGGCATTAACCCACTGCGCAGTGCTGGCCCCTGTGTCTGTTTCTGACAGATGGCCTGGGCAGTTCCTGGTGCTTAGTACCTTACCTTAGTAACTCCATTTTTTGTTTTGCTTCACAGCATTAGCTTAAGTAACTCCATTTTGGTTTTGCTTTTCTCCTTCTTTTTGGACTAACGGGGCTCTGTAACTCTTGGGGACTCCTGTGGGATTTGCCACACGAGTATAAAACTGTTCTTGGTAAGGAAGGTTAAGAAGGAAAGAGATTAAAAAGGTTTAAGTTGCAGAAGGTGCGAAAAAGTCACAAAAGATTATAAAAAATTTTCTGGATTAAAAAACAATTAAAATCTGATTCTCTGTTAAAACAGTGAGGTTTTGTGATACTTATGTTAGTAAATATTTTAAAATATTCTTTATCTTAATTAAAGTCCCAGAGGAATAAAAAGGATAAATGGTTTATAAAATCTTACAGGTACTTTCTAAAATACTGTGGAATAAACAAGTGCCTCTTCTTGTTGGTTAATGAGTTCTATAATTTTAACTAAGGTTATTTAAAGTCTTGTCATTCTGTTGTATTTTCCTCTAAACACTAAAAATCCCATTGGTCACAAAAATTAAAACGTTCTTGGTTCTATGTATAAATATGTCTTATTTTAGGTTCCAAAGAACTTCTTTTTCCTGACCTTCATTGTATTCAGTACTTCCAGACTGCTCCACAGAGGTCTAATAGGTCCCAACTAAAACATGGTTGATTCAGGTTACTAAGTAACTCTAATCGATCGGTAATTAAAAAAAAGTTAGAGTTTAAAAGTCTATTACTAAAACTGGTTTATTGTTCTGTAATGTATGTTGTATGTGTGTTCATACTGTATGCCTACATGAAAAAATTTATTAAGAGCTCTGTTTTGATTGACTTATAGATAAAAGATCGCTCATAAATTTAAACTGCTATATTAACCCAAAATAATTTTTGGTTTACGTGACCTAAAATCTCTGTATCAGGTGTTTTAAACTTGTTGATACAGAGAAACCAAAAAGAGAGAGAGAGAGAGATCGATCGATCGATCGATCTTCCATCCGCTGGTTCCCTCTCCAGATGGCCACAACGGGCAGAGCTGTGCCAATTCAAAGCCAGGAGCTGCGCAGGCCCTGTGTATTTAATCTGCTTGTTAGATTCGTTTTCTCCAGACTTAATAAAATTCCAGATGGCCATTCACATGAAACTGTGGATGGAAGCAGTTTCTGCAGGCTGACACTGTGGCCCCCTCAAAAAACCACCTCCTGTTGAAACCCCCTTTTTTTAAATATTAATTTGAAAGTCAGGGTTACACAGAGGGAGAGGCAGAGAAGAGGTCTTCCATCCTCTGGTTCACTCCCCAATCGGCTGCAACTGCCAGAGCTGTGCAGATCCGAAGCTGGGAGGAGCTTCTAGGTCTCCCACGCGGGTACAGGGGCCCAAGGACTTGGCATCTTTTATTGCTTTCCCAGGCCACAGCAGAGAGCTGGATTGGAAGTGGAGCAGCCAGGACTTGAACTGGTGTGCATATGGGATGCCGGCACTGCAGGCGGCGGCTTTCCCGTTACGCCATAGCACTGGCCCCTGAAACCCTGTTTTGACTGCCATTCCCTACTCCCTACCCTGAGGGGCCCCCAGGACAACAACCCCTGTCAGCAGAAGTAGCCAAGATGAGATCGTCGCCCTGGGTCCCTACAGTGGTAGGGTGTGGATGGGGGAGTGGTGGCTGGGCCCACGCAGCTTTCACAGGATGTCTTGTGCATATGGGCTGTGAGCTGTGACAGCAAGGTTTGCTGAGACCTGATCCCGCCTCTCTGCTGTGATATCCTGAACCCAAAACTAGCAGCAGGGGCTGGGCCCACCAAAGAAAAAACTAGCTCTTAAGACCTCCCATTCGGGCTGTCAGTGAAAGGCACCAGCCTTTGTGTTACTGTACCCGTCCCTCCTCAGGTCTGCACTTACAGTGGACCTGTTTCTCCCCTGATCTTAATTATCGCCAACATTGCTCTGCCCTCTTGTTCGTTCTGGCCCTGGATGGGTTCAGTGTGACTGGCACTGCTGCCCTCGGCACGGCAGCTTGGCTTCGGGGTAAGCTGGGTCTTTTCCATGTGCCAACATCAGCCACCTCTAATCTTCTATTGATGTGTCACACGGCCAGGTAAAGTCTCTTGCAGGGATTGTCCTACAAAGTAGCCGCCGCCGCCTCAGACATTGTAGGCCCCTACATTCTTAAGCAGTTACTAGATTTCAATAAAGTACATATTACTCTAAATAACCTTCCTGATCAATGTGATCATGTGGCTAATTTATTGTCTCCACACAGAGGGGGAGTGCAGTAACACCTGGACAGTAGTAGTCACCTCCACCTGTGTGGTCATTCAGTGTCCCCCAGACTCTACCTGGCAAAGCAGCATGTGACATTGTCACTAGTCTGTTGAGCCAGAGTAGTGAGATGGAATTTAGGTTTATTAATAGTAATGAGTAGGTCTTAGGCTTACTAATATCTGGGCTTGCAAGAGATGAACCTGTCAGATAGCTTGAAGAAGTGACTTCTGGGGCTGGTGTTGTGGTGCGGCGGGTTCATTTGCCCCCTGTGTGGCATCCCATGTGTGCATTGGTTCAAGTCCTAGGTGCTCCATTTCTTATCCAGCTCCCTTCTAATGACCTGGGAAGGCAGTGGAAAATGGCCTAAGTGCTTAGGCCCCTGCCACCCGTGTGGGAGACCCTGATGGAGTTCCAGGCTCCTGGATTTGGCCAGACCCAGCACTGGTGGTTGTGGTCATTTGGGGAGTGAAACACTGGGTGGAAGATCAGTCTCTGGCCCTCTTTGTAACTTTGCCTTTCAAATAAAAAAAGACTTCTAAAGAGACAGGTGTGGGGACCAGAATGAAGTTAGTCCTCCAGACAGGGTGATTGGAGAGGAAGATGTGCACTTGGAGCAGAGGTGCATCTTAGCCCTCGCCCTGGCCGGGGCAGGGAGCTGTCCAGGCGGAGCTTAGTGCTGCAAAGCGGGCTCTCCCTGTCTGCAACCAAACAGCTCCTTTTCTTTTTCTTTTTTCTCTTTTTAGACTTATTTGAAAGAGTTAGAGACAGAGAAAGGTCTTCCATCTTCTTGTTCACTCCCCAAATGGCTGCAGCAGCCAATCTGAAGCCAGGAACCTGGAGCTTCTTCCGGGTCTTCCATGCTGCTGCAGGAGCCCAAGCACTTGGGCCATCCTCTGCGGCTTTCCCAGGCCATAGCAGAGAGCTGGATTGGAAGAGGAGCAGCCGGGACTCGAACTGGTGCCCACAGGGTTTGCAGACGTTGCAGGTGGCAGCTTTACTTGCTATGCCACAGTGCCAGCCCCTAGCTCATGTTTCTTGAGGCCAGTAGGATGATGATTTTTCTTTTAGAAGTTTTTTTTTCCTTTTTTATTTGAGACAGGAAGACAGAGCCCTCAAACACTGGTTCCCTCACTAAATATCTGCAATGGCCAGGCCTGGGATAAGCCAAAGCTGGGAGCCAGGAACTCAGTCCAATCCAGGTCTCCTGTGGGAGTGATGGGGACTGAAGTTCTTGAGCCATCACCTGCTGTGCGTTAGCAGGAAGGTGGAGTCAGGAGCTGGAGCCGAGAAGCAAATGATGTGGCCAAATGCCCACCGCCCAGAACAACGACTGGGGGCTCTGGTTTGTCCTCCAGGCTAGGATGAACTGATAAGCAGACTAAAGGTATCTGTAGAAGGAGGTAGGTGTTGATTTGTGCCGTCTATACGAGCTGGGCTTGTGATCATCTGCCTGTGTGCCGTGATTTCACAGGAGGAGGTGAAGCGGCTGTGACGCACGGATGCTGCAGTGCAGGGCCGTGGGAGGACAGTGCTGCCAAAGTCATCGCGTGCCACGTGCCTGTCCTGGAGGACCGCACTCCCGGCCTGTGGGAGAGGCACAGGAAGGTACGCAGGCAGGGCGATGTGGGTGAGGGTGTTCCTGACTGTAGCCGCTTCTGATAGGCGGCTTGCACGTGGCTGCACTGAGGACGGAGAGGGATGGCGTCTGCTTGCCGTGAGAAAGCACAGCCCGGGGAGAAGCTCTGTCACGAGGCTGGGGGCTTCTTCCTCCCTCAGTGGATTTCCAACCGCTTCTTCCTGGCTCAGGAGAGCGCTCTGACCTAGGTTTCTCCCTAGGACCATGGATAACAAGACCCAGGAAGTTGGTGGCGTCCATTTCCCGTTTCCCTTCACGCCCTATTCCATCCAGAAGGACTTCATGGCAGAGCTCTACAAGGTGCTGGAGGCTGGCAAGATTGGGATATTTGAGAGTCCCACGGGCACTGTGAGTACAAACAGTGAGGGGCCGGGCTTGTGGCAGCTTAGAGGCAGACTTGCTGGCTTTTGCTGTTCACCTGTGCAGAGATCTTCATAGTTTGAAGTTGAGATGTCTTAGTTTACTTTTCTTTTTTTTTTTTATTTTTTATTTTTTATTTTTTTTTATTTTTGATAGGCAGAGTGGACAGTGAGAGAGAGAGACAGAGAGAGAAAGGTCTTCCTTTGCCGTTGGTTCACCCTCCAATGGCCGCCGCTGCAGCCGGCGCACCGCGCTGATCCGATGGCAGGAGCCAGGAGCCAGGTGCTTTTCCTGGTCTCCCATGGGGTGCAGGGCCCAAGCACCTGGGCCATCCTCCACTGCACTCCCTGGCCATAGCAGAGAGCTGGCCTGGAAGAGGGGCAACCGGGACAGAATCCGGCGCCCCGACCGGGACTAGAACCCGGTGTGCCGGCGCCGCAAGGTGGAGGATTAGCCTATTGAGCCACGGCGCCGGCTTTCTCACCTTCTCTTAAAATATTTATTTATTCATTCAGGGGGCAGAGTTACAGAGGGAGAGACAGGGAGACAGGTCTTCCATCCGCTGGTTCATTCCCCAAATGGCCGCAACGCCAGAGCTGGGCCGATCCGAAGCCAGGAGCTTCTTCCAAGTTTCCACGTTGGTTCAGGGGCCCACACATTTGGGCCATCTTTCACTGCTTTCCCGGGCCATAAGCAGAGAGAGCTGGATTGGAAGAGGAGCAGCTGGGACAAGAACTGGCATTCATATGGGATGCCGACGCTGCAGGTGGAGGCTTAGCCTACTATGCCATGGCACTGGCCTCCTGCCCCTGACTTTTTAAAACATTTTATTTGAAAGGCCGGGAGACAGAGACATTCAAAGATCTCCCATCTTCTAGTTCATTCAAATGCCTAGAACAGCCAAGGCTGGGCCCAGCCAAAGTCAGGAGCCGGGAACTCAGTCTTGTTCTCCTGCATGGATGGTAGGGACCCAACTACCCGAGCAATCACCTGCTGCCTCCCAGGGTGTGCACCAGTAGGAAGCTAGAATTGGAAGTGGAGCCAGATTCTGAACCCAGGCACTCTTGACGCGGGATCCAGGCATCCCAAGCAGTCTTTTACCTCTTGCCAAATATGCACCCCCTCAGCTCACTTTCAGGTGGAGAGGTGGCCGTAGCCAGGCGTCTGTCCCTGGGATCTGGTTGGGGGGGAGTCTGACCTGCCCCAGGTCCCACAGCACAGAATGGCTGCTCCCTCACTGCTGGGGAGTGCTGTCTGGCTCTCTGCTGTTTAGCATCTGTCAGAAGCTGGGAGAAAGGGGCAGATGGGGCTTTTCTAAAGATGTGTGCCCCACCCCTCTGCCGGAAGTGTCGTTCGGTCCACGAGGTAGTCAATCCTGCATCTGAGGGTGATGGTTATTTTAGTCGTCTTAATAATGGCAAAAATAGGGGGCCGGAATTGTGGTGCAGAGGATGCTGCCTGCGATACCAGCATCCTATACGGGCACCAGTTCATGTCCCGGCTGTTCCACTTCTTGCCCAGCTCATTGCTAATGGCCTGGGAAGAGCATTGCAAGATCCCCAAGTGCTTGGGCCCCTGAACTCATAAAGCCCCTGGCTTAGGCCTGGCCCAGCCCTGACCATTGTGGCCACCTGGGGAGTGAACCAGCGGGTGGAAATCTCCTTGTCTTTCCCTGTCTCTCTATAACTCTGCCTTTCAAACAAATATATCTTCAGAGGAAGGGAATGTCATGCTTCGAGAATTGTATCTACAAATCGCATTGAGTTTGTTACAAACTAATTAAAAATTAAAATGAAGAAACAGCAGAAATACAGCCAGCTCCTGTTGCTCACTGACTGTGTACCAGTGTCCTTTTACTCTTGGTGTAGCTGTTAACTTTGTGTTAACCAGCTTCATGCCAGCCACAGCTCTGTGCGGACGGTCCCACTGTGGTTCCTGTTTCTGTTCCTGTGTGTGGAATAGGTATAGACAGGCCAGCTGAGGTCATGGGCTGGCACAAGGGGAGTTGGCGTGTGGCCTGGGCAGCCACATGCCAACATGGGTTCTGAAGTTCTGTGTTGTGCTGTGTGCCCTGCTCACACACGTTTTCCCCTGAGGTCCAGTCCTGCCTGATAGGCTCAGACCATGCTCTGGAGACTCCAAGACCCCCGGGGCTAAGCAGGCTCAGAGAGATGAGTGCCTGCACCAAAAGGATGTAGCCTCCAGGGACCTGCCCCGGCACAGAGCAGCTCCCTGCTGCCTCTGCCTGGAGGAGCTCCGTGAGGCTGCCCGGAGTGGGTAAAACGGGTGTGTGGGCCTGGGAGTCCTGAAGGCCGGGGGCTGAGGGCTGGCTGCCTCGAGGCTTCTCGCCTGGGTATGCCGATGGCTGCCTTCTCCCTGGGGGGTGCGTGCCTGGGTCCAGATTCCCCCTTGGTCAGGAGGATCCTGGGCCACGCTGATGGCTTCATTGTACCTGCTGACATGACAGTGAGCTTGTTCGCAAATGTGGCCGTGTTCTGAGATGCTGGAGTTCTGACCGTGAACACTGCGCTTGTTGTGGGGCACAGTCCAGCCTGTAACAAGGACCCAAAGGGAAATGCTGAACTTTCCATCGAGCAGTGTTCTCCAGGCAGCTGGTTTGCTTTGTTAGCAGTTCACACACGAGGCTCACGTGCCTGCCTCTGCTGTGTCTGCTCATTGCTGCGTTAAAGCTCAGTGTTGACTCTGATCGTCCCTTGCCAAGTATGTGGATTTTTTTTTTTTTTTAAGATTCATTTATTTATTTGAAAGGTGGAGTTGGAGAGAGGGAGAGACAGTTCTTCCATCAACTGGTTCATTTCCCAAGTGGTTGCAATGGCCAGGGCTGGGCCAGGCTAAAGCCTGGAGCCTGGAACTCCATCTGGGTCTCCCGCATGGGTGGCAGGAGCCCAAGCACTCAGGACATCTTCTGTTTTCCCAGGCGCATTAGCAGGGAGCTGGATGGGAAGTGGAGCAGCCAGGTCTTGAACTGCTGCTCATATGGGATTCCAGCATCAAGGCAGTGGCTTGACCTGCTCTGCCCCAGTGTTGGCGCCAAGAATGTGGGTTTTATGCTGTTCATTTTTTGGTGTTGGTTCTTTTTGGAAGGTTGCTTATCTGATTTCTCACCACCTTCTAATTATGTTAACTTGCAGTATTTATACAGAACATGGTAAACCACTTTGCATTCTTTCTGGAAGAGTGAGCTGTGTGCTTAAATAAAAGCAAACAGCAAACCCACACAGCGCGCCCCCTGTTCTGTCCCTGAGTCCCTTGCTGTGTTTCCTGGGCTGGCCTTGGCGCCGCCTCCGCTCTTGCAAGCTGGCCGTCTGAAGCTGTGATGAGGTTGGGGAAAGGCCGTTTGGGAAGCTGTGCTCTTCGGCCTCTTCCTCTGAGGACTGTTTTCTCCCTGTAGGGAAAGTCCTTGAGTCTCATTTGTGGGGCCCTCTCCTGGCTCCGTGACTTTGAAGAGAAGAAGCGCCAAGAAGAGGCCCGTCTGCTGGAACCTGGAACCGACCCCTTGCCTGGCACGGGCAGCTCGTCCTCACTTCCGGGCAGCCCGAGGCCTGCGGGAGAGCCAGACTGGGTCACTCAGTTTGTGCAGAAGAAAGAAGAAAGGGACTTGGTGGACCGACTGAAGGTGAGGCGCGGTGTGACAGCCGTGGGAGGGAGGGAGGAAGCAGAGCTGGTTGGCATCAGGGTCGATACATCCCTGCCGCTGCAGTGCCTCTGAGTTCTCTGCCGCTTTTTTTTTTTTAGTTGAAAGAATGAACACAGAGTGAGACAGAATCTTCCATCTGCTGGTTCACTCCCCAGATGGCCAGACCAAAGCCGGGGGCTGGCCCAGAGCTCCATCAGGGTTTCCCATGTGGGTGGCAGAGGCTCGTGCACTGGGCCATCTTCCTCTGCCTTCCCACGTGCATTAGCAGGGAGCTGGATTGGAAGTGGAGCAGCTGGGACTTGAATCGGTGCCCATATAGGATGCCGGTGCTACAGGTGGCAGCTCTACCCGCGACACCACAACACTAACCCCCTGCCCACCTCTTGAGTCTGTGTCTGTGCTCCTTTGCTGTCTTATCTGCCTGGGTGTCACCAAGCCTTCTACCAAGGAGGGCCTGCCAGTTTCGATTCATTGCTCACGGCGGGAAGGAAACGAAGCATTTGACTGGCAACCCAGCTCCTTGGCTGCAACTCAAGGGCGGTGCGGGGCTGTGTCCTGCAGGGCTGAGGGTCTGGTGAGGGGTTGCTGCCCTGGCCTGCACAGGCCTGCCTCCCTACCTTCCTTCATTTGTTTTTATTTGAAAGAGTTAGAGAGGGAGAGACAGCGAGCGAGTGAGCCTCCATATATTGGTTCACTCCCCAGATGGCTGCACCGGCTGGGGCTAGGCCATGCTGAATCCAGGAGTTTCTTCTGGGTCTTCTACGTGGGTGCAAGGACCCAGGGACTAGGGTCATCTTCTGCTTTCCCAGGTGCATTAACAGAGAGCTAGATGAGAGGCGAAGCAGTCAGAAATTGAACCAGTGCCCGTACGGGATGCCGGCGTTGCAGGTGGTGGCTTTACCTGCAGCGCCTGCCCTGACCCTGAGTGTGGCCGGGTGGGGGGAGGGCTGCCCCATGTGAAGAGGCACCTGGCGGAGCACCACAGACTCAGGCCTGATTTGGGGGCTTTCATGGGTGTTTTCTCGATGCTGCTTCCCCCTTAGGAGGAGCAGGCCAAGAGGAGGAAGCAGGAGGAGCGGCTGCAGCAGATCCGGCGCAATGCGCAGCTCAGGGCTGCAGCCCAGCGCCGGGTGAGTGTTGGGGGGAGGTGCGTTGGGTCCTGCTGCTTGCACACGCATGGGTGTGAGCCCCCCTGCCATGCCCCTGCACAGAGACAGGAAGAAGAGGAGACCGAGAGCCTCCTGCGCCTCAGCAGGGAGATGCTGGCGGCAGCTGGCGCGGAGCCGCCGGAGCAGCTGGAATCCGGGGAGGAGGAGCTGGTGCTTGCGGAGTACGAGAGCGACGAGGAGAAGAGGGCCGTCCGCGGGTGAGACCTCCATGCCCCTGCCTGAGGCGCCAGGCCCCGGAAGGCTGCCCGCCCGTGGGAGAGGGAGTGGCTGCTACCTGCCCCTTGTCTGCGACCCAGGCCCTCCTCAGGGCCCAGAGGTGCTGGTGAGCAGGATGGGCACCCTGCTGGCCGCTGGCCTTGTGCTGTGTTAGCTCAACCACGGCTGGCGGCAGTGTCTGCGTCTGCACTTGATGCAGGAGGGTGCTGCAGCCCCGCGATGGGAGTTGCTTGAGCAAGGCCATGAGGGTAGGATGTGGAGGAGCTGGACTTGAACCCGGCCAGAGCAGGACAGACCTCAGGGAAGCCCTAGGCTAGCTCTAGGTCTCGCACTCTCAGCTGCCAGACCTTGCTGCGTCAGGGTCATGACACAAACCATCAGGGTGGTCCCTGGCCAAGTTCTTCCTGGTCCAGGTGTGTAGGTGTCTGCGGTTGGAGCATTGCCTGCAGGTGTGCCGCCGAGCTCAGCAAGGCTGTTTTGGGACCACGGGACCCCTCGTGAGAGCCTCCGTAGTGCCCCCTTTTGTTTCACCAGGGCCCTCAGAGTGTGTGCCCTGGGGGCGGCTGTGGGGAAGAGGAGGACACATGTGGCCGTGACCTCAGAGCCCTGCGTTTCAGGGGAGGATCCGGCAGTGAGTGTACAACAAGCAATGCCCGTCTGTGGTCAGCGTGTTTGCCTCCAGGGAAGATGCAGCTGGGTGGTGCAGAGCTGGGGTGGTCCCCAGGACCAGAGGTCGGGGGCCACCCCAGGAGGGGACCAGGGAGGGCCAGTTGGAGCTGCGAGACAGTAGACTGGGCATAGGAACATGGGCCTGTATTCCTGGGCTGGAAAGAAGGCCCAGGAGCCTGAGCAGAGAGTGGAGGAGGAGGAGAGAAGGTCAGAGACACGGCAGGGGGTGTGTCTAGTCGGGGTGGGGGTGGCTGTCACTCAGTGCGGTGACGAGGGAGTGACGTGATCTGATCCCCACACTGGGAAGCTCCTTCTGGCTCCAGAGTTCGTGGCTCTTCCATGAGGGTTCCTACAGACTTCTCCCTTGTGGGCTTCCCTGAGGTCTGTCCTGCTCTGAGGTGGGTCCTGGTCTCACACATCACACATCCTCGTGTCAGCATGGTCAGTGCGGTGAGTGTGACCCCAGAGTCTGGAGCCCTCCGGGGTCCCTGAGGAGGATCAATGCTTGCACCTGCACAGTGTCCAGAGCACACCGTCCGGCCTCACCTGCAGCTGCCTTCCGCACGCAGCCCCATCCTGGCTGGCCTGGCTCGTGGTCCGTGCACCAGGCTGCCCCCTGCTCCGTGTGAGGATTCGCAAGGCTCCTCACCTCGCAGACTCTGGTGGCTGAGAGGCCGTGTCCATGGCCTCGATGTCAGCCCCTGTCTTTCCTGCCTGCAGCACTGGGTGTGTGAGTTTGTGAGTGGATCCCTCCCTCTTCCCCCTGCCACTGGGGGCCGAGCTGCTGCAGGGCAGAAGCCAGTGTTTTTTTTTTTTTTTTTTTTGACAGGCAGAGTGGACAGTGAGAGAGAGAGACAGAGAGAAAGGTCTTCCTTTGCCATTGGTTCACCCTCCAGTGGCGTGCTGCGGCCGGCGCACTGCGCTGATCCAATGGCAGGAGCCAGGTACTTCTCCTGGTCTCCCATGGGGTGCAGGGCCCAAGCACCATCCTCCACTGCACTCCCTGGCCACAGCAGAGAGCTGGCCTGGAAGAGGGGCAACTGGGACAGAATCTGGCGCCCCAACCGGGACTAGAACCCAGTGTGCCGGCGCCGAGAGGCGGAGGATTAGCGGTGTGTGAGCCGCAGTGCTGGCCGAGCCACTGGTTTTTGATCTGACGTTTGGGGCTGAGCTGGTGTAGGGCATCTCGTGTGATTGGTGAAAGCTGAGTGAGCTGCGTATACAGATGCTGGTGACTTTGAGTCCTGTGGTGCGTTTCCCGCGCCGACTGCAGAAACCCCAGCAGGGGAGGCTGGGTGGCTGAAGAGGGCCTGTGGACGGTGACCGTGGAACTGGGGCACTGCGGCTAGCAGAGGCTCTGCGGTTTTCCTTCCTCGGGCGGAAGGTCTGGCTGCCCTCCTCTTCGCCCCCTGGCACCTGTGAGAGCTGAGCTAGACCCGGGCTCTGGTAGCTTGGGGCCTTTTCACCCCGTGAGCTCAGTAGACGCCAAGGTGATGCCTGCAGCCCCAGGGAGTGCTGAGTGGGCCTGGCAGAATCCCTGAGCCCTCCCATGTCTGAAACCTCATGGAGAAGTCTGCTGGCCCCTGCTTGTTAGCCACCCTCATCCCAGGAACTGCCTTCTGCCCACGCCTCGTCACTGAGGTTTTCCCCAGCGACCTTTCTCCTCACCCCAAGGGAAGGACAACCATGGCCATGGCCATGGGGAAGGGGCCTGGTGGGCCTGTGCTCAGGCACTGGGATCGGGACTGGAGGATGACAGCCCAGCCCCTCCCTGCGCTGGGGTCTTCTGGGCCCCCTCGGCATCACCCAGGGTGTTAGGTGCTCCATGAACCCTTTTGCTTGCCCCAGGCACCTGGGGAGGGGGTGAGAACTCAATGGAGTTTGTGAGCTGTGGAGGGGAAGGTGCTGTCTGGGGTCTGGGCAGGAGCCCCGTGCGAAGTCTGCATCCTTCTGTCTTCACACGCCAGCCTCTGTCCTGGACCTTGCTGGTTGTCCAGTAGGCTCTGTGTGGTGGACATCCCAGCCTTTGCAGAGAAGTGGTTGGAAAATACTGACCAGGAGGCTACTGGCTAACGCAGTCCTCTTGTAGTTAGCACAAGGCAGCTGCACTGCAGTTTTATTTAGATTAAAAGAGTGTTTCTGCTTTTCTCAAATTGGGTTTTAAAGCGAATAAAAATCTATTTCCTAGGCTCTTCCTGTAGGTAGCTAGGGTCTGTAAGAGAATTCTGTTTTCCCAGGAGCCTCGGCTCATGTTGGCTGAGATTTGAGGGCTGGTAATGCAGGCCCGACCTCCCTGCCATCTCCCTGTGCTGATGGCCTCTTCGTCCCTTGCTGGGAAAGACGGAGCGTGATACTGGGACGAGAAGAGGGTCGCTGGTCATTTGTGACAGCACCTTGTGTCCGGCAGCCATGGCTTCACTGGGGACGTGCGTGTGTTTGCTGCTGCTGCCAGGCTGTGGGCTGGGCCTCAGGGATTGGACAGAACAGGGTAGCCTGATGGGAGAGACAGCCCAGCCCAGTAGGAAGCGACCTGGAACGAGGTGGGTGTTTCCAAGTGGGTGCACAGTTCATGCGGTGTGGCAGGGCAGTGGCCCTATGTGGGCGGTTAGGGGAAGCCATGTCTGTGCTGGGGTCCCAGGAGCAGGAGTTGGTGAGGCAAGAGGGGAGAGCGTTCCAGGCAGAGAGTGGTGCATCCACAGGCCCTAAGGTGGCGAAAGGCAAGGTCTCTTTGGGAGCTGAGAGGAGTCGGCTGAGCTGGAGTTGGACGGAATGGCCAGGGGGAGGCCGCAGTGCCTGCCACAGTTGAGTGTGGAGTTCTGGCCGCTGTGGCTTTCCACGTGGGGTCGGGCACACCCTGCCCCGTGCTCCTTCCTCCCACATCTGTCTGCATCCCAGGCTTGAGCATGGCAGGTGTTGGCTGGAGTTCGCTGGGGGTGTCTCTGAGCCAACACCTGCTGCTCTCCTCAAGCCTCAGTGCTGGGAGGGGTCTCTGTTGCCTTCGGGCTCAGAGCTCAAGCCTCCGTTCCACTGGGTTCTGTGGAAAGGGACCCGACTTTGTTGTTTATGGTTGGCTGTCGAGGGCTGGGTCAGTGGTCCTGGCAGAGGCTCGAGGCTTGGGGCTGTTTTCTGGTTGGTGTGAGTTTGCTGAGGGAAGGCTGTTCTGAGTACTCCCTCCCGCCCCCCGCCCCCCGTCTCCCCTCTCCCTGCAGAGTGGATGAGGATGAGGAGGAAGCCCTGGAGGAAGAACACAGAACTAAGGTGAGCAGCTCTGTCTTGGGGCGGAGTCCTGGGCTCCACCTGGGGAGAGTGCAGGAGGTGCGCCAGCCGTTCCTGGCTCCTCTCTGGGAAGAGCGCCCCGGACTCGGAGCTGGACAGCCCCTGGGGATTGCCCCGGGAGCCAGCCTGTCCAGTTGCCCGGAGCACCGAGGGGCCTCCGTTCTGGGCCGAGTGCTTGCGTGGTTTCTGGAGGGGTGGTGCAGGTGAGGGGTGGGATGACCAAGACGCCCTGGGCTGCGTCCCTCTCGTGGCCCGTGCCTCCCCTTGTCTGTCCCTTCATTTGCATGGAGTGCTAGGAGGTGCCTATGGTTCTGACCCCTCGCAAATAGGAAAAGACTTGGTTCTTCTCATTGAAGACTTCTGATTCGGGTGAAAGCAGCTGTCTCCCCCCATCCCCCGTTTTTCTGGTTTCCTCTGTCTTCCAGACTTCAGAGGAGTAAAGGACAAAGTGTTTGCTCAGCTTCTTTTCCTCTGGGGGAAGTGTGTGCCTTAGCACCCCCCCCCCCCCAGACAACCCTGCCCCTCCCAAGAGTGTGAGGGATCTTTTTCAGGTTGAGCCCTTGTCTGGTGGGTGGGCATCCCACATCCGTGTTTCTGTAGCTCCTGACCTCAGCTTTCTGCCAGTGCAGACTCTGGGAGGCAACGATGGTGCCTCAAAGTCAGATCCCTGCCACGGAGACCTGGATTGAGATCCTGGCTGCTGGCTTCAGCCTGGCCCATTCCTGACCACCAGGCATTTGGGGATTGAACCAGTGGCTGGGAGCTCTCCCTTAAAAGAAAACTGAGCACATATGGGAAACGGGTCCCTGATGCCTGAACCCTCTCCCACGGCTGGATTAGAGGCCAGGATGAGTGACAGGAGTTCCGTCTGTGGGCCTTCCCTTGCGCATGCAGATCAGTGGTGACTTGGGAAGTCCGGTGCCCCTCATCGCAGGATGTGGGTTGTGGTTATCTTGAGGTTGGTGCGTGGGCAGCAGCTTTGCTTGTCCCCACGGCCTCCTGGGCTGCAGCCTGCCTCGGTGTGCAGAGGATGTGGCAGTCCCCTTAAGACATCCCCTTCTCCTGGGAACAGATTTATTACTGCAGTCGGACGCATTCCCAGCTGGCCCAGTTTGTGCGAGAAGTACAGAAGAGCCCCTTTGGCAAGGAAACCCGACTCGTGGCCCTCGGCTCCCGGCAGGTACACTGGGGCAAGGTGTCTCGGCCTTTGTGCTGCTCCATTAGATGTAGGAAGGTGATGGGTCTGACCGGCTCCCTCCTGGCCTCCCCTGGCCTTGGAAGGGGAGGATGAGGTGGCCGGGCAGGGCCAGCCGGGCTGCTGTGGGTCACTGGGACAGCATCACTGCTTGACTTCCTCCTGTCTCCTAGAGCCTTTGTGTGAACGAGGACGTGAAGAGCCTGGGTTCTGTGCAGCTGATCAACGACCGCTGCATGGAGATACAGCGCAGCAAGCACGGTAGCCACTGGGACTCGGGCAGTGCTGGGGTGGGCCAGGCTGGGAGTGACAGGACGGCTAGTGGGCGGGGCCAGGGACGTGGGGAAGCAAACTGCAGGTATCCTACGTAGACATAATGGGGGCAGGCTTTTGGTGTGGGGGTTTAAGACGTCCACGTCCCACATCGGAGTGTGCGGTTTAATACCTGCCTCCAGCTTCCTGCCCCTGTAGACCCTGGGAGGCAGCGGTGATGGCACCAGTGATTGGACTCCTGCCATCCATGGGCCGGACCTGGATTGGGTTCTGGTTCCCAGCTTCAGCCTGGCCTGGCCCCAGCTGTTGGGGGCATTTGGGGAGTAAACCAGTGGATAGGAGTTCTCTCTGCGTCTGTCTCTCAAGTAGATAAGTGAATAAATGCAAAAGACACAGAGATACTGGCAGAGTGGACCCAGGCTCCTTTGTAAGCACTCTTCCCCGTGGGACCACGCTCTTGCTCTGCACATCAGCGTTCAGATCCCTGGCCTCAGTGATTTCAGATCCCAGAATGTGCGGACAGGGGCTCCACGAACAGCGTGTGGCTAGGGGTCTTAGCATCCCACATATCCAGCCTTGGTCCTCCGGGTCTCTGCGCCCCGTGCCTGTCCCACCCTCAGAGAAGAAGAACAAGGCTGAGGAGGAGCAGCCGAAGAGACGGCGGCGGGAGAGCCGGGCTGCCTGCCCTTTCTACAACTACGAGCAGTTGCAGCTGCTCCGGGACGAGATCCTGCTGGAGGTCAAGGACATTGAGCAGCTGCTGAGCCTGGGGCAGGAGGCCCGGGCCTGTCCCTATTACGGCAGCCGGTTTGCCATTCCTGCCGCCCAGGTAAGGCCTCTGCTGCGGCAGAGAGTAGCTCTAGACCACAAGGGGAGTCCACATCCCCGTTAATCCAGGTGGCACCCTGCAGACTACGGAGGCTAGACTGCCGGTGCTCTGCACACTCTAGGCACATGACTGTTCTCTCCTAGTACGCAGGGGAGGAGGAGGCCTGTGGGTCCCTAGGTGGCTCTGGGCTTCCAGGAGTGGGGCACCCAGGGGCCAGTGTGCATTCCTAGGGAGCCCACAGTGAGGGGGGGTAGGGCAGGAACTGAGAAGGTGCAGTGAGGGAGCCCCAGGACATAAACGGATTTCCAGATGGCTTTTCCGAGTGACTGTCCCGACCCACATGACCACCTGGAGCGTGGGAGAGCACTCTCCTTGACCTGCTGTGTCTTTAACCAGAGGACGCACTGCAGTTCTGACCAGTCAAAACTGGTCTCTGGGGCGGGCACTGGACGCGGCAGTTAAGCTGCCACCTGGGATGCCTGCGTCCCAAACCTCAGGGTTTTGAGTCTTGGCTCAGCTCTAGTTCCAGCTTCCTGCTGATGCACAACCTTAGAGGCAGCAGGTAATGTTTCAGATACATAGGTCCCTGCCACCGTGTGGGAGACCGGGCTCGAGTTCCGGGCTCCTGACATTGGCCTGGCCCAGCCCTGGCTGTTGCAGGTATTTGAGGAGTGAACCAGTGGACAGAGTCTCTGTCTGTCTCTTTCAAAAAGCCTGGGATCTGATTTTGTTTGCAAGAAGACAGTTCAGTCATACCCAACAACTACCTGATTTTGATGTTTGTGTCACTCACTTGAGTATCAAGGGAAGGTTCACATGGATCCCAAGAGATGTGGGGAGTGAGCTAGTCTTCATGCTACTAGACAGCAAAGCGCTCGCCAGCACACCCTGAGCCCCAGGCACAGAAGCGCACAGAGGAGCCGGGCTGCTCCCCCGTCCCCCCGCTGCCGACAGCCTTCCTCTGATGTGCTTGCCACAGAGCAGGGCTTGGGCTGCCGCCATTTCTGTGCACACATGGCAAGGTCGCCTGAGATTATCAGGATCTGAATTTTTAAAGCACTTCCCACCTTGGTTTTGCCGTTTAGTATCCCACTGTGGCGGCTGCATTCTATGCAAGAGGGCCCTGGGGCCAGGAATGGGGAGTGATTCTGCCGCCTTGTCAGCACCAACGAGCACCAGAGCTGGCGTCCCACCCTGGGCTTCACACGTTCGTTGTTTTGGATTTCACTTTGTCCATCAGTATTCTTTCAGCTGGAACATTTTCATAAGGAAACACTTGAAAACATACAGAATGCGTTTATTGTTCCTCTGTCCCGGCTCCTTCGCCCTCACGGGGGGTAGAGTTTATCAAGACCATTTGCAGATGAGGAGGGTAAGGGTCAGGCCCAGGCCCAACAGCTTTTCCTGAGTCCCAGAGCTGCAAAGTCAGCGCTCCAGGACCAGGAGCCAAGGCTGCTTCCTTCTGTATTTATTTGAAAGGCAGGCAGACAGAAATCTCCATCTGCTAGTTCACGTCCCAAAGGCCTGCAGCAGCCAGGGCTGGGACAGGCTGAAGCCTGGAGCTGGAAACTCAATCCAGGTCTCCCACATGAGTGGCAGGACCCAGGTACTTGAACCATCAGGTGCCGTCTGCCTCCCAGGGTGCCCGTTGGCAGGAAGCTGGAGCCAAGCTGGGGCTAGGAGTGGAGCCCAGGCACTTGGATGTGGGACGCCAGCATCCTGAATGGAATCCAGTTATGCCCAGCACCTACTGCCTGGGCCAGTTTAAGGTAGACAGTGGTTTTTTGTGGTGTTTTGAGGACCCTTGAGTGCCTTCAGGGCTACCTTTGGGTCCTAGGTGAGGGTCACCTGCAGGGGCTCCCCCCTACCCCTCACCTCCATCCTTGGTCCAGTCAGGAGTCAGGTCAGCTCATCTGACAGGCAGGCGGAGCTCCCATCTGCTGGTTCATTTCCCAAATGCCCACAGCGGCTGCGCTAGGTCAGGATGGGATATGGAAGCCAGTGACTTAATCCATTCTCTCTCATGAGTGGCGGAGATCCAAGTCCTTGTTCCATCGCCGGCTGCTTCCTAGGGTTTGCATTGGTGTGAAGCCAGAGCCAGGACTCGAACCCAGGCACTCTGATATGGGATGCAGGCGTCCCAAGTGGCATCTTAATTGCCAGGCCAGCGGTCACTCCTAGCTCCAGCTTTGTGTTTCATGTATTTGACATCCCATGTAAAACTTTAGGGGAAAAGACTTGATGCAGGCACAGGGCTGTGCACAGCTTTTCTGTTGGCTGTCCGTCCACGTTGTCCAGGCAGCAGATAAAACAGTTTGCACTGGGCTGGCGTTACGACGCAGCAGGTTAAGCCTATTCTCTGGGATGCCAGTATCCCCTGTGGGCGCTGGTTTGTGTCCTGGCTCCTCCACTTCCAATCCAGCTCTCTCCTAATGTGCCTGGGAAAGCAGTGAAAGATGGCCCAATTACTTGGGCCCCTTCCACCCATGTGAGAGACCTGGACGGAGTTCCAGGCTCCTGGCTTCACCTGGCCCAGCCCCAGCCATTGTGGCCACTGGGAGAGTGAACCAGTGGATGGAAGATCACTCTGTCTCTAACTCTGCCTTTCAAGTGAAATAAATAAATCTTTAAGAAATATTCTTTAAAACCAAACTGGTTTGCATCAGGAACTTAGGAGGCCAGGCGGGGGTGCTGCAGGGTGAGACCTGTGAGTCCCGCCAGTGCTCAGCTGGGCCTCTCCCCCCCCAGCTGGTGGTGCTGCCCTACCAGATGCTGCTGCACGCAGCCACCCGGCAGGCTGCGGGCATCCGCCTGCAGGACCAGGTGGTGATCATCGACGAGGCGCACAACCTGATCGACACCATCACGAGCATGTACAGCACTGAGGTTGGCGGTTCCCAGGTGGGCCTGCGTGGCGTAGAGGGCCAGAGGTCGCTGCTCTGAGTAGCTGGGCCTGGAATTCCTCCAGGGATGGGCCTGGTCATGGTCCCGGGTCATGATGCACCGGGTCATGGTCCCGGCCTTGCCTTCCAGCGCATCAGCTCCACCTTAGCGCCGTGTTTCCTGCTCCTCTCCTGCCTGTGTCCTTCTCAGTCCCTCTAGCCCAGGTGTTCCTACTAGTTCTGTGTGACCAAGGATGGTAGCCTGGGAGAAGCGGGGGTCTGCGTGGGGGGGGGTGAGATGTTGTTGATGTGTGGGGAATGTGTGAGATCCCTGCTGCCTGCTACTCTCACGTGCCCTGCACTGCTCCCCACACTCATTCTGCACGGGGCTAGGTCTTCCTGTTTGGGGCAGAGCCTGAGCTCCTGGCGCCCGGTCACCCAGCTCACAAGTGTGGAGCCAGTATCCGACCACTGGTTTCCAGTGGTGAAACCCATGTGGCACCCACCGCCTCTACTGACCAGTACCTGGGTTATCTGTGGGCCAGGTTGTAGTGGTTACCTTGAACTATCGACTTTATAGCCGCCTTGTCTTTCCTGCATCCAGAGGAGCAGGGAGATTTCTGGGTGTTCAGCCTCTTGCATTTCCCTGCCTCAAAGTGGACGCTTAAGCAGAACTTCCCCTCCTGCCATTCCCTTTAAAACCCACCCCTCAGGGCTGGCGTTGTGACACGGAGGTTAAATAGCGGCTTACAACGTGGGCATCCCATACCGGAGTGCCAGTGCTACTGTGCCTGGAAGGCAGCAGATGATTGGGCTTCTACCATTCTCATGGGGGACTTCCATGGAGTTCCAGCTCCTGGCCTTGGCCTGGCCCAGACCTGGCTATTACCGTCATTAGGGGAGTGAACCAGTATTTGGAGGGTCTAACTCTCCCTCTGCTCCTGGCCCTCTCTCTGTCACTCTGACTCTTTTAAAATAAATACATAAATAAATAAAGAAACCATTCTTCTGGCCGGCGCCGTGGCTTACTTGGTTAATCCTCCGCCTGTGGCGCCAGCATCCCATATGAGCGCCAGTTCTAGTCCTGGTTGTTCCTCTTCTAGCCGAGCTCTCTGCTGTGGCCTGGGAGGGTAGTGGAGGATGGCCCAAGTGCTTGGGCTCCTGCACCTGCATGGGAGACCGGGAGGGAGCACCTGGCTCTCGGCTTTGGGTCGGCACAGCGCCAGCATGGTGGCCATTTGGGGAGTGAACCAACGGAAGGAAGACCTTTCTCTCTCTCTCTCACTGTCTACAACTCTACCTTTCAAATAAATAAATTAAAAAAAATAAACAAACCCATTCCTCTGTGTGCGCCCAGCCCCCTCAGCTCACGTGGTCTCTCCTGTGACTGCTGGGTGGTCTCTCTGGGCACCTGCGGTTCATGGGCACAGCTCCACGTTGCTTGCCCAGCACCTGGGCTGCCTTCACCCCGTTCTCCGCATTCTCTCCCCAGCTCTGCCAGGCCCATTCCCAGTTGCTACAGTACATGGAACGATATGGGTGAGACCCTGCTTCTGGAGGTGGGAAGGGGCTACCCCATTCAGCCTCCGGGGCCCCCGGGTCACGGTCTCTGGCCTGGGCTTAGGGTGGGGTGGTCATGGTGCTGCTCACACCCCCAGTTCCACGTGGCGCGACCCCACAGGGCCTCGGATGTCCAGCAGGGAATGGCTGGCTCTGAGGGCATTGGGCCACGGCCAGCCCGTTTGCTAGGAGGACTTGGAGCTTGAGCTCTGTTTGAGAGGCTGTTCTGGGGGAGAAAGACCTGGGCACAGGGGCAGGCTTTGGGGAAAGGGAGGAGCCTCCGGGTCCTCCTCTCCATGTCTCTTGCTCTCTGCACAGGAAGCGTCTGAAGGCCAAGAACCTGATGTACATTAAGCAGATCCTGTACTTGCTGGAGAAGTTTGTGACTGTGCTGGGGGGTGAGAGAAGCTGCCGTTGTCGGGCTCGATGTCGGTTTTGTCTCTCATTAAGTGTGTTGGGCGGTGATAGGAGATCCCTCATTCCCTTGGCTTATTTGGGTTGCCTGGCCTCAGGTCTCTTGTGAGAATCCGCGTTTGCTTGCCTTCCACGTCGTTTTAATTTTGCCAGGCCCTACTCTCTAGGTCTGGTGATATCTTCCGCTAGATGTGTTGCATTTCCTGTGATGCTTGTGGTACTTCCCAGTGTCCCTTGCACAAGGAGTTTCCCTTGCTCACCCAAAGGGAGCCCAGAGCTCTGCAGTCTCGGGAGAAACGCAGGAAGCACATAGCTCAGAGCCGTGAGCCATGGCATGGCCCTTGTGGCCAGAGCTCAGGCTGCCTCGTGTTGCTCACTGGTGCCCCCTGTCCTGTATTGTGCGGGACCCCCTTGAAGGCATCGTAGCAGCATGTGTTCCCAGAAGCCAGGAGGAGAGTGTTTTCTGGCCGGACCTTGTCTTTTACTGGTGTTCTTGGCTTCTGTCTCCTACTTCACTGCTGGATCCTGGCTCTCCATGCTCCCCTGCGTGCAGAGGGTGGGGTGGCCTTTCTGGCTCCTTCAGGAGGTGTCCAAAGGGTGATATTGCAAAGCTTTAGATTCCAGGTGCAACATGGGAGTCACATGGGGAGTGGGCATCCTGGGACCTCTGACTCTGGACACATCTGGTTCTTGATGTGCTGTTAGTGGCAAAACAAAAAAAAAAACCTGTTCAGATATGAATGCTCATCTGACTTGATGAGTGCCATGTGGAGCTGGGAGGTGGGGGCAGAGGACCTGCACCCTGACCTGTCGGAATTCTCTTTTGCAGGGAATGTTAAGCAAAACCCCAACACACAGAGCCTCTCGCAGACAGGTAAGGGAGCTGCCCTGGGCCACTGCTGAGCTTCACCGCGGACCGAGAGCCGTGCGCTGCAGAACGAGGCTGCGGCCCCCAAGGCCCTTCGTTTGCTTTCAGGGACGGAGCTGAAGACCATCAACGACTTCCTCTTTCAGAGCCAGATAGACAACATCAACCTCTTCAAGGTAGAGCTTGTCACCCGTTTGTTTTAAATTTGAGAGACGGACAACTAGGGATCACCCATTTGCTTGTTCATTCCCCAAATATCTGAGGCAATTGGAGCTGGGCCCAGGCCACAGCCAGAAGAAACCCAGAACTCAACCCAGGGCTCCCACGTGGGTGCCGGGACCCTGCTACTTAAGTCCTCACTGCTGCCTCTCGGGGTCTGAATTGGGAAGCTGGAGCTGGAATCTGCTGCCAGGTGTTGAATCAGGCACCCCAGTATGGGACGTGAGCATTTTTTTTTTAAAGTTTATTTTCTTTATTTGAAAGGCAGAATTAGAGGGAGAGACCGGGATCTTCCATCTGCTGGTTCACTTCCCAAATGGCCATAATGACCAGGGCTGGGCTAGGCTGAAGCTGGGAGCCAGGTGCTTCTTCTGGGTCTGCCACATGGGTGCAGGGTCCCAAGTCATCCTCTGCTACTTTCCCAGGTGCATTAGCAGGGAGCTGGTTCGGAAGTGGAGCAGCCGGGACTCAAACCAGCACCCATATGGGATTGCCGGCAGGGCAGGTGGTGAATTTACGCGCTACACCACAGCACTGGCCCCGGATGTGAGCATTTTAATCAATAACCAAATGCTCTCCACAGATGCCGCTTTTTTATATGAGCACATCCAGTTTCCTTTTCTAATCACCACCTGTGGGCAGAGCGCTGTTAAGACCATGGGGGGGACACGAAATGTAAATTCTACCCTCAAGCAGCCTGGGGTTTGAGGATTTAAAACATATGCACGGGTAATTAGCCCAGAAAGCAACGAACCATCAAGAACAGCCTTCAGTCTGGGTCACAGGAGCCTCCCACCTCTTCGGCACAGACCAGGGCCTTCCTGCACGCCCCTCCCCTCCCCTCCCCTCCGGCGCAGTCTTTCCCCAGTGTGCACGGGCCTGGTTCCTGCTGTCGGGGTGGAGCTGGGTGACGGTGCTGCCCCTCTCGTCTTCCCACCTGAGCCGTCACAGCCTCAGACCTTTGTGTGCCCCGGTCCTGCACATCTGCTGTCTCCCCAGATCCTGGGGTCTGGCCCTGGCGCTTGGAGCACAGCCCTTGATTCTCAGTCATGGTAACCCTCTCCACGGGCGGAGCACGTGCTGTGTCTCTGTCGCCGTTTGCGAGCAGGGACTCTGAGGTTCAGAGGATCCCTGGAGGGAGGGTGTCGGTGAGCTGGTGGTGCACGGTGGAGCCAGCGTTCTGCCCGGGACCCTGCATTCTTCCATCCTGCCCGCCCGCCTTTCTTCAGTCCACTTTCCTCCTGACTTACACCTTTGCTCATCACCGTCATCAGCCTCACCAGGTAGCTGGGAATCCGCTCATCTCTGAGCCCGTACTTCCCTTGTGTCCCTGTCCAAGTAGCTGCTTGCTCCCGCTGCCAAAGAGGGCTCTGAATTGCCCCGCCTTTTCCTGCCCACAGCTGCAACTTGAGTGCATACCCTGACCCTCTGCTCTTTCCTGCCTGGCTGTCTTGCTCCCCCCTCCTCGGATCACACTGGGATCGAGTGATCTTAGCTGGAGGACATCGGCAGCATCCCAGCCTTCCCTGAACAAGCACCACGCGTTGCCTGCTCAGGCCTTTGCGCGTAGGGTTGGTCTTTTTTAAGCTAAGTCTCGTTTGAGACCTAGCTTAGGTGCTGTCACCAGGAAAGGCGGCCGGGGGGACCCAACTATCGGTGGTGCCCCTGGAGCACCCAGAGCCATGGAGTGTGCGGTGACCATGTGTGTGAGGCTTGGGGGAGTCCCCCAGTGGGTGGCGAGGGATCGTAGGGGGCAGTGGAGATCAGCACCCTTGACCACAGCTGGGCTTTGGGTTCCTCTGGAGGAGACAGTGACCTGCGTTCCTTGGGAAGGGAAGGCGGCCGTTTCAATCTAGGTTACAGGGCAAGCGTGGAGCTCAGTGGTTAGGGTGCTGCTTGGGCTGCCCACACCCCATGTCCCAAGCTGGTTCAAGTCCTGGCTGTACTTCTGGTTCCTAAATCTGCATCCTGGTAGGCAGCAGGTGATGGTCCAAGTACTTGGATCCCTGCTACCCATATGGGAAGACCTGGATTCTGGGCTCCTGGGTTCAGCCTGCTCTAGCCCTGGCCGTTGAAAGCATTCAGGAAGTAAACCAGTGGATGGAAAAACTGTTAGGCTGACTTCAGATGCACTGAAAATAAATGAGTAATGATTATAAAACCTTGTAAAGAGCTTGGCCGTAGTGTGCCGTGTTCTCACCGGAGCCTGCTTTTGCAGGTGCAGCGGTACTGTGAGAAGAGCATGATCAGCAGAAAGGTACCTGCCTTCCCTGTGGGCCTGGGGTGGGCCCAGGGGCACCCCCTCCCCCCGCCTCCTTCTCCAGGAGATGCCAGGTCGCCCTTGGTTTTCCGTGGTGGGGCCTGCTTTGCTGTTGGGGGTAGGGCGGGCCTGGAAGCCTCTGGGCCATCCCCCCGCTCTGTTCTTGTTCCTCTGTTTCTCACACTCCTCGTCTCTCTCACCCCGGCCCAGCTCTTCAGCTTCACAGAGCGCTACGGGGCCGTTGTCCTGCCCTCCCGGGAGCAGCGCAGGCTGGCGGGGTTCCAGAGCTTCCTGCAGAGCCTGCAGCCCGGGACGCCTGAGTGTGAGTCGGGAGGGTGGGCGGGAAGCCGGGCCGTGGGCCTGGGCGGGAACGCGGACCTGACTTCAGGGGGCCCCCCTGCCACTCCCAACGCACAGCTCCTGCAGCCGCTGAGGAGGACCCGGCTGGGGCGCCGCGGCCGGCCTCCCCGCTCATGCACATTGAAGGCTTCCTCGCAGCCCTCACCACGGCCAACCAGGACGGCAGGGTCATCGTGAGCCGCCAAGGTAATCGGGTGCCCATGGAGGAGCAGCCTGGGCCTGGAGCCAAGGCGATGAGCCCTTGCTGCTGCCCCGGCACCTCCCTGGGCAGGGACCTGGCGCCTGGGACCTGGGGCAGGCAGTGGAGACGGTCAGGTTCCTAGAGGAGCCCTGGGGCCGAGGGGAGGCGGCTGTCGCCTGTGGGACCTGTCTCCCAGCTCTGGACCTCAGCTCCTGCTGTGGGAAATAGGGGGACAGCCCTGGAGAGCGACAGGAGGCGCTTGCAAGAGCAGTGCCTCCTCCACGGCCTCTGCCTGGTGGAAGGATCTGGGGGCCTGCACTGGCCCCTTCCCCATGTATCTCTGCTTTTCCCAGACAGCCTCAGTCAGAGCAGCCTGAAGTTCTTGCTGCTCAACCCAGCTGCACACTTCGCCCAGGTGCTGAAGGAATGCCGGGCTGTGGTCATCGCGGGAGGCACCATGCAGCCGGTAAGGACACGTGTCCCGGCCACCTGTGCCCTGTTGTGGGATGGGAGCTGGGCTGGGGGTGGATAAACAGGCCCCAAGTCAGGAGGTGGTCAGCTTGAGCAGGCCCTGCAGCATCCACAAGGTGGCAATGTCGTGCCACCTGGCTCCCTGGGCCTGTGGGCCGGTGTGGGGCCCAGGGCGCTGCGCCTCTGGTGTTTCTGCAGTCAGGTCCAGGGAGAGTGTGGGGCCCAGGCCACCGCGCCCTCCGGTGTTTCTGCAGCCAGGTCCAGGGAGAGCTTCAGACTTTGCTGTAGGTGCTCTGTGCCTCTGTGCCATTGCTGCACCTGCCACAGAAGCACCAACCTCTTTTGAAAATTGAGTTTTTATAAATATGCATATTTACTTTTTTTCAGAAAAATGTTTTCATTGTAGAAAGCAGAGACAAGCAAAAACAGGAAAAAAATCTTAATTCTACCCTCAAAAATTGATTTTGGTGTATGTCATTGTAATAATATACTAGGTGTAATTTTTACTTAGGTATTTTAAGTTGCTTTTTTTCTTTTTTCTTTTTTCTTTTTCTTTTTTTTTTTTTGACAGAGTGGACAGTGAGAGAGAGAGACAGAGAGAAAGGTCTTCCTTTGCCGTTGGTTCACCCTCCAATGGCCGCCACGGCTGGTGCGCTGCGGCCTGCGCACCGCGCTGATCCGATGGCAGGAGCCAGGTGCTTCTCCTGGTCTCCCATGGGGTGCAGGGCCCAAGCACTTGGTCCATCCTCCACTGCACTCCCTGGCCACAGCAGAGAGCTGGCCTGGAAGAGGGGCAACCGGGACAGAATCCGGCACCCCGACCGGGACTAGAACCCGGTGTGCCGGTGCCGCAAGGCAGAGGATTAGCCTACTGAGCCACGACGCTGGCCAAATTTGCTTTTTTTCACTCAGCCACAACATGTCCCAAGTATTTTTTTATTTTTATTTAAAGATTTATTCATCTGAAAGGCAGAATTAGAGAGGTAGAGACAAAGACAGAGATCTTCCATCCGCTGGTTCACTCCCTAAATGGCCACAGTGCTGGAGCTGGGCTGATCCAAAATCAGGAGCCAGGAGCTTCATCTGGGTCTCCCACGTGGGTGCAGGGGCCCAAGGAATTGGGCTATCTTCTGCTCCTGGCTGCATTAGCAGGGAGCCGGATTGGAAGTGGAGCAGCTGAGACTTGAACCAGTGTCCACGTGGGATGCCAGTGCTGCAGGCAGCAGCTTAATCTGATACTCTACAGTACCAGCCCCACACTTGAGAGGAATAGACAGACAGATGCCATTTGCTGGTTTATTCCTCAGATTTCCACAGTAGCTAAAAGCCAGGAGCAGGGGCTTAGTCCAGGTCTCCCACATGGCGGTGGGAGCCCAACTGCTTGAGCCATCACTGCTGCCTCGCAGTGTCTGCATCAGCTGGAAGCTGGGTTAGGAGCCACAGCCAGCGGTGGAGCCCCACGCACTCTAGGCACCCAAAATGCTAAACCCAGCACTTGCTCCTCCCAAACGTTTTGTCGGCAAGTGTGCTGTATTCCAGTTATGTGGATATATTCTATAGAACCACTGTTAGGTGTTCAGGCTGTGTCCAGCTTCCCTGTTTTTGTGTGTGTGTGGTTTGTTTTTTTTTTTTTTTTTTTTTTTTTTTTTTTTTTTTGACAGGCAGTTAGAGAGAGACTGAGAGAAAGGTCTTTGTTCCGTCGGTTCACTCCTCAAGTGGCCACCATGGTCAGTGCTGCGCTGATCCGAAGCCAGGAGCCAGGTGCCTCCTCCTGGTCTCCCACGCGGGTGCAGGGGCCCAAGCACTTGGGCCATCCTCCACTGCCTTCCCGGGCCACAGCAGACAGCTGGACTGGAAGAGGAGCAACCGGGACTAGAACCCGGTGCCCATATGGGATGCTGCCGCCATAGGCATAGGATTAACCAAGTGAGCCATGGCGCCGGCCCCAGCTTCCCTGTTCTCAGCAATATTGTGCTAACCACAAGCCAGTCTCTGCAGTGCGGCTTTCCTCAGGATACCTCCTTGCAGCACAGGGCTGGTCCACACCTCTGACTCCAGCCACTGGGGCCTGTTGGACTGGCCTCAGCACCTGTTCTGTTTGCAGTCTGTACTCAAGAAAGATTGTTGTTCACTCAGTGTACTAAAGTTGTTTAAAGTCATTTTTTAAAAAAAGCTTATTTGGAAGGTAGAGTTACAGACCCACTCACATACCACCTTCTTCTATCCATTGGTTCACTCCCCAAATGGCCACAATGGCTGGGCTGGACCAGGCCAAAGCAAGGAGCCAGGAGCCTGGAAATCTATCCAAGTCTGCCATGCGGGTGGAGGAGCCCACGTACTTGGGCCATCACTGGCTGCTTTCCCAGGTGCATCAGCGGGGAGCTAGGTTGGAAAGAGTGCGGCATCCAGTTTGGGGTGCAGGCATTGCAAGCAGTAGCCTCCCCACTGCGCCACAATGCCAGCCCCTCCTTACCCTCTCAGCCGGCTGGGGCAGCCTTCATGCTGCCGTTGGTTCTTTGAACATGACTGCATCAGGTCTTGCTCTCTGCATAACAGGATGCTTCAGGCTGCCCTTACATGAAGATGCTTCAAAGGTTTGTGAAAAAATAGAATTAAAATGTGTTTTGGGGCTGGTATTGTGGTGCAGCAGCTTAAGCTGTGTTCTGTGTGAGGGCTGGTGAGTCCTGGCTGCCCCCCCCCCCCCGCCCCCCTCCCTGCTAACGGCCTGGAAAGCCGTGGATGATGATCCAAGTACTTGGGCGCCGCCACCACGTGGGAGACCTGATGAAGCTCCAAGCTTTGGCCTGGCTCAGCACCGGCTCCTGAGGCCATCTGGGGAGTGAACCAGTGGATTAAAGATCTCTGTCTCTTCCTTTAAAAAAGATGTATTATTTATTTTGGTGCAAAAGAGCTTCTGAAATCCATGCATAGTTTTTGTAATACTTACTTCCCATGAACCTTTTGAGGAGTCCTCACTCCTTCCTGTCCCAGAGCTGGAATCATTCATTTGTCCAAGGTGCTCTTCGCTTCCCTTAATGGGAAAGAGACTTAGAAACCAAGATTTGGGCATTGGGCGCTTGTGGTGCTCTTGTATATTGTTGTGAAGAAGGCTTTTCAGTAGATCCACAAAATAGGTTCTTAGCAGTCATGAGCCCGTATTGGCTTTTCCAAGTCAGAATCACAGAATTCACTGATCTGACCAAGCGTTTGTCTCTTACGAGGAATGTGTGCTTTCTTGTTGCATAATTTTTTTACTCCATCCCATAATATATTTAACCTAGTTTCAAAGTTGTCATCTAGTCGTAACTTCTTAAAACCACCTCCAGTGTGGAGTTCCATTTCTTTGCATTTCTTCTTGCTCTTAGAACGTCAAGGACTTGAAGTCAGGCTTTGCTCTGTGTGCGACTGTTAGTTTGATAGGTAGCTGAGATTTTGTTTTCTTGAGTTCTAGTTTGCTTCATTCCTCATAGATGTAATTTTAATTTAATTACGTAAGCGCTTGTGTGTTCAAAAGGTAAACTAGCAGGGCAGATGGTGAGCATTTAGGTCTCTGCTTAGGATGTACCCATCACATATCAGAGTCCTGTGGTTCAAGTCCAGGCTCCACTTCAATCCAGCTTCCTGCTAATGCACACACCGGGCTGCAGCGGTGATGGCTCAGTACTCAGATTCTGAGTTCCAGGCTCCTGGCTTTAGCCTGGCCCACCACTCTCCACAATGCCTGCACCAGCTGCAGCTGAACCAGGCCGAAGCCAGGAGTCTGGATTTCAGTCCAGGTCTCCCCCATGGGTGGCAGGGACCCAAGTACTTAGGCCACCATGTGCCCCCTCCCTGATGCACATTAGCAGGGAGCTGGAATAGGAGGGTGGGCCACGACTCTTTCCCGGGCATTATGGGATGCAGGTGTGCTAAGCAGGTGCTCACACAGGCCAGGGCTGAGGTGTGTTCCACACTTGCCCGTTTTCTTTGCTGTTCCCACACTGATGCCTCTGATGCTTCGATAGCCTTTTCTTTTACCTCCCGTTTGTGTTCCTGTGGACTTCCTGCCTCCCAGCCCATCCCTCCTGTCCCTGCCGAGGCTTCTCCACCCCACCCCACGCCTGAAGTCTCTTCCTCAGACCTCTGGGAGGTCACAGAGCCTTGACCTTGTGGCCTGCAGGTGTCTGACTTCCGGGAGCAGCTGCTGGCATGTGCTGGGGTGCAGGCTGAGCGAGTGGTGGAGTTTTCCTGTGGTGAGGACCTGTGTCCAGGGGTGGGGTGGGCCGAGCCGAGCGTCTGCATTCCAGCCTCCACAGCCTGGCACCAGGCCCAGGGGCTGTGGAGCCTTGTCCATACCTCACCCTCACGAGCTCTGCGTTGCCCGCAGCCATGGGGCAGGCTGCTCCTCGCACCTGGGTAAGGGCGGCCCTGGCTGGACTGGAGCTGCCAGAGCATCTGCTTTTGCATGCTTCAGCCCCTCCCTGGGTCTCTCCAGGTCACGTGATCCCTCCAGACAACATCCTGCCCCTGGTCATCTGCACGGGACCCTCTGGCCAGCAGCTGGAGTTCACGTACCAGAAGAGAGAGCTGCCTCAGACGGTCAGTGCCAGCCAGCCTACCTCTTCCTGGCTTTGCTAGGGCAGGACAGAGCTCTTGGTGGGGCAGTCGGGCCGGGCTGAGCTTCCTCATCCCTAAATAAGCCATATTAAAACCCCCGGCATCCCTTTAGGACGAGGCCCACAAGAAAGCTGCTCTCCTCTTGTGGTTCCTGAGCCCTGTGCCAGCCTATGCCTCAGGCAGGGGCCTCTGCCTCCAACAAGGGGAGCAGTGCCTGACTCGTGCAGGGTGCCCACTGGGAGCCGGGGAAGGACCAGCACCACTAGCGGGCGGCACCTCCCATTCCCTGGTCCCTGCCCGGGGCACCTACCTGGCCGTCATCCTCACGCTGTGGTCTCTGTCCTTGGCTTGGTGCCCCAAGCTGAGACAGCCCTTGCGGTGGCTGCAGGGGTTGCTCCATGGGGCCCTTGTCTGCCTTAGATGGATGAGGCGGGTCGCATTCTCTGTAACCTGTGCAATGTGGTCCCTGGAGGGCTGGTCTGTTTCTTCCCCTCCTACGAGTACCAGCGTCAGGTCCACGCCCACTGGGACAAGAGCGGCCTGTTGGCCCGCCTGGCCATCAGGAAGAAGGTGAGTGGCCCTTCTCTCTTGGGAAGACTTGGTGCCTGCCAGAGCTTCCCCTGGGGTTCCCCTGCTGCTCCTGTCAGGATGGCTGGTTGGCTCATCCTAGTTCCCTCCCCACCATTCCCACGCCTGACGGTGGTTCTCCAGTGCCTAGGGCTGAGACCCAGCATTCTGAACCTGTTCTGGGTGGTGGTCTCTGTACCTGCAGATATTTCAAGAACCCAAGAGAGCAAGCCAGGTGGAGCAGGTGCTGCTGGAGTATTCCAAGTGCATTCAGGTGAGAGGCCCAGAGAGCGGGGGCGAGGGTGGGGTTGGCAGCCAGGCTTGGGCTCAGCCTGTGGGGCTGGCTGTGTCGCACAGTGCTGCAGCCAGGCAGGAGGTGTGCTGACCGGGGCCGTGCTCCTCTCTGTGGTCGGAGGGAAGATGAGCGAGGGGATCAACTTCTCTGATGACCTGGGCAGGTGAGTGGCAGTTCTCAACTCCTGGGGCGTGATACCCAGCCACCCTCCCTAGACAGCAGGCACTGCTACGGTCTCATGTCACCTGTGGGCTGTTTCAGCAAATCTGACCGTGGCCCTTTAGAGTGGGTGGGTCTCTTAGCCCATAAAAACCCTTTTCCAGGTGGCAAGTACAGGTAGATGTCTGGGGCGGGCTGGAGAAGTGGGCACACATGGCAGTAGATGGTGTGTGTGTGTCCCCCAGGTGTGTGGTGATGGTGGGCATGCCATACCCCAACATCAAGTCCCCAGAGCTACAGGAGAAGATGGCCTACCTGGACCAGACCCTTGTGAGTGCCCGCAGTGATCACCAGGGAATGGCTGGGGAGGAAGACTTGTCAGCCCAGCCTCACACTGGGATGGCCTGCATGAGGGCTGTACCTCCATACCTCGTGATCTCCAGTGTCGCCTGGCCTGTCCCCAGGGAGAGCTGGGATGAATTTATCCTTACTTTGCAGCCCAGAGCCCCAGGTCAGGCCCCCCCAGGGAAAGCGCTGGTGGAGAACCTGTGTATGAAGGCTGTCAACCAGTCCATAGGTGAGCCCATGACTGCTCCTGGCCGTCAGGACAGCTACAGGTGGACAGGCCCTGCATCATCCCCACTCTGCTCTTGTCCAGGCAGGGCCATCAGGCACCAGCGGGACTTTGCCAGCATAGTGCTCCTGGACCAGCGGTATGCCCGCCCTTCTGTCCTGGCCAAGCTGCCGGCCTGGATCAGAGACCGTGTGGAGGTCAAAGCTGCCTTTGGCCCTGCCTTTGCTGCTGTGCGGAAGGTCAGTCCTGCCTCGCGGTTCCCTGAGCTGCCCCGATTCTGAGGCAGTTTCTCATGCCTTTCCCCATCTCCCCAGTTCCATCGGGAGAAGGCTGGCCTTCCCTGACGCTGGCTGCATGCTTGGTGCTGTGCAACCGGGGCTCCTGTCCCAGAAGCTGGAAAGGGCGCCCAGAACGGCTCTGCTAGAACCCCAGGTCCAGGCTTAGCCAGAGAAGCCGCTAGAACAGATGGCCTTGCTGAGGCTGTCCCTGGAGCTAAGTCAGGCCTCTGCCTGTCTGCAGGAGGCTGTGGGATCTTGAATTAAAGGCGTTTGCAGCCTCTGGCGGCCAGATGGTGACCCCTGCCCCCACAGCCTTGTGCCCTTCCCAGCACCAGAGCAAATGCAGAGATGCCTTCTATTCTGAGCCCGGAGAGAGGGCCTCGGGCTGCAGGGAAATACTGCAGTATTTCTGTGTATGTCCTCCACAGCTGCAGTTCTGTAATAAAACGTGTGCTCCTGGTTTGCACTCAGTTCTTGCACTTTATTTCTGCGGCTCCTCTCGGCTCTAGGACAGCTCTGCCTTTGGAGAGGACTCAGGCACAGAGCCACAAGTCCTCACCTTTCTTGTCTCAAGGGGACCGAGAACCTGCTTCCCTAAGACTCCCAGTCATCTTCGTCGTCCTCTCCCGCTGGCTGCTGGGGAGGAGGCAGAGGAGGAATGGAATCAGACATTCGGGCGAAGGCTCCTCCAGGCCCCTCGCTGGCCCCTGTCCCAGGTCCTTTCCCAGATATGCCTGCAAGGGAAAAGGCTGCGTGAGGGAGGTGGGCCGGGGCCCCCGTTCTCAGCCCCTGGGAACTTAGGGGAGGACCGTGTAGGATGCAAGTATCCCCTGCCCAAGGCCTCTGACCTTTGCGTCTCATGACCAGCTTGTTAAAGAGATCCGACATCAGGTCCCCACTCTGGCTCGTGGCTCTCACTGCAACAGAAAAGCCACAGTGAGGGAGGTGGAGGAGCCAGGCAGGAAGTCCCTGGCTTAGCTGCACTCGGCCCCACCCACCGCCACCTGTTGACCACCTGCTCTCGGTGCCTCTGTGCAGACCCAGCATTGTTAGAGTTGCATCAGTGTGAGCAGCCCTGCAGGAAACCTGGCCAGAGAGCTTAGGTGTTAGCTCGGGGCCGTTGACCACAGGGGCTCTGCTGCTCTCTGCCCAGGTCTCCATCCCATCAACTGCAGCCTCAGAGGGCTTTCAGGACTTGGACTGAGCTCCCCCTCAGGTGCTGCCTCAGGGTATCCCTGGGCCAGGGGTACTCACGACGAGTCCCCTTAGAGAGGAAAGCTAAGCTCAAGCTTTGGCTGTCTTGTAGGTGCCCAACCTGGGGGGAAGCCCACTGTGCAGGCAGAGCAGAGGTGGATGTCGGGGCGGCTCCTCCCCTGAGGGGGCCCCTCACCTTGCTCCCGCTCCTTCTGTTTCTTCTTCTCCAGCTTGCGCTCCTTGACGCTGCGCAGCTTAGCCTTGCCGATGCCGCCGGCTTGGCGGATGGACTCCAGCAGGGTGGCCCGGCCGCTGGAGGGGTCGACCACTTCTTTGGGAGCTCCCTGGACTGCCGCTGGGAGGGGGGAAGGCTGTTCAGGCAGGGACTCGGGCCGGCTGAAGGTGAAGCCCGGTGCGCACGGCGGCCTGGGTGTTCCTGTCCCCAGCTGCCCGAGCACCAGGGCCTAGATGCAGCCCTCCTAGTTCTCCCACTGCAAAGGCGAATGCTGAGATTCCTGATGGGCTGACAGGGTCTCAGCAGTGCCCCACGAACCAGCGAGGGACTTCTGTGTGCCTTGTGGATGGGGCGATGCACCAGGAGCTAGAACATCACAACTGAAGTTTGTGACCTCACGTTTTAAATAACCCCCTTTCCCCATTGGTGGGAACGGGGGGCCCAGGCTCCCACTCCTGGGGTTAGAATTCCGGAGCTCTCTAGGACACTTGAAAAACAGGGTTTTATGAACCCACTGAATAAAACATTTGAAAGGAGAGCTGTTCCGAACATGCAGAATTCGCAGAATTCACAGTCCCTTGAACCTACAGGTGCCTCAGAGTGTGTGTGTGCCCTGGCCCCTGCCCAGTGCTGCTCCTACCTGGAGGCCCACTGCTGCCGCTGTCATCTACCCTGGCACCTTGGCCGGTGGAGGCCACTGTCTGGGGAGGTGGTGGTGGGGCACTGACCAGAACCGCAGGTGCTGGGGGAGGTGGCGGGGGTGGAGGGGGTGGTGGGGGTGCTGTGAGCACCCCATCCTCCAGGTCTGAAAGAGAAGGTTGGGAACACGTGAGGCCCTCGAAGGAGGCTGCCGGGCTGGGGAGTCCCCCGGAGCTCCCAGCTCACCTGGCTTGAAAGGCTCCACCACCTCCGTGTGGAAGGTGGGCAGCTCTGGAATAGCGCCGGGGGCCGAGGGGGCAATGCCGGGGCCCAGGTCGGCGCTGTACATGAGGTCATCAGCGATGCCGGGCAGGTCCGGCAGGTAGGAAGGCACATCGATCTCGGGCACCTGGCCCAGGTCTGGCACATAGAAGTAGTTCTCTGGAACCTGTAGGGTCAGTGAGGTGCGTGAGCGGCCAACGGGGCTGCAGGCCACATCGTGACCCTGGGGCAGAGGGGAGGTCACCTCACGCCAGCACACAGCTGGGTGGGATTACGGCTCCTTGCAGGGACCCCACCACCTGCCTCTCCCCCGCCCCTTGCCACCTGTCGCTCTAGCTGTTCTCTCTTGCTGATGGACAGTGGCGCATCGAATAGCTTCTCCCCTGTCTCTGCCCCCAGCATCACATGGGTCTTGGTCACAGCACCGGCCAGCGGGTCAAGGAAGACGTATTTCTTGTACCTGTGGGAGGAGGGGTGTCAGGGCAGCAGCACCTTCCCTTCTAGGGCTGCGTTCCTGACCATGGTGGCTCCCCAAGCCTCACAGGCCGGAGGAAAGCGCTCGGCTCCTGCTGCCCCTGTAGGCCCGGCCAGTCCACCCAGCCTCTCCGCACAGCCCCGCCACCTGGCCGTACAGGTTCTCGGTGGTGTTGAAGAGCAGCAAGGAGCTGACGGAGCTGATGTTGCTGGGAAGGCCCCCGAGCCCCTCCTCGGCTTCATCCTCAGGTCCGGGCTTGGTGCTCACACACACGGGGAAGTATTTCAGCTTCTCCTGGGGGCGGCCAGAGGGTAGATGGAGATTTCAGCTCTGGGTCCTGTGGACCCCACCCCATCCCCGCATCCTCTCCAGGGACAACTCTCTGTCCAGTGGGCCCGCAGCCTCCCTGCCCAGGGTATGTGGCCATGACACCTGCAGGGCCCGCTCATCCAGGGGGCGGTGCTTGCTCTGGATCCTGTGGCGGGGCCGCCCCTGCAGGCCAGGGTCCTGGGCGCCCGAGAAGATGGAGCCATATTCCTGCAGCCGCTCGGGAGCTGGGTACTTGGCACTGGAGAACACCTGTGGACACAGGGACGCATCTGGGGCCTGAGGGGCTCCAGAGAGCCAAGGGTGGCTGGTAGTGTGGGAGTGGGTACTGGGATGCCGCAAGGAGGGAAACCTGACGTGTGGCAGGACAACAGGAGTGCGGGAGATGGAGGAACTGCCTGTCCACCACAGAACCCAGGGGTGCACAGACTACCTTGATGGCCTTCTTGCTGCCCTTGATCTTCTCAATCTTGGCCTGGGCCAAGGAGACCCTCTGCCCGATGGCCTGCAGCTGGCTCCGGCTCAGCTCCACTCGCTGGGAGATTCTGCCAAGGGTAAGGTCACAAAGGCTGGGGACTGCACCCAAGCCCTCATTCTCCTGTCTCTCCTGCTGCTAACAGCTGACTTGCAAGGCCAGGGCGGGGCCTGTTGTAGAGCTTCTGGGGGACGCTACCAGGATTCTCCAAGCACAGAGGCCTGGGAATGAACTGTACTAGTTTCCCTGGGGCCCTGCCTCCTGCCCCAGGAGTGTCCAGTCTCAGGCAGGGGTGTGCAGGACAGCCGCAATTACACATTCACATACAGCTGCTGGCAGGTGGCAAGCGCTGTGACAGGCCCCTACAACCCAGCTGAGGCAGACCGCGGCAGACCCCTGAGTTCAGTGGGGCTAAGTGACCAGCAAGGCTGGCCCCTACGCATAATGAACGGTTCTGCAGAGGCAATCCAGGCCCTGGTCACGGCTTCCCTGGCTCTTGGTGGTCTGGCTCCTCACCTGCTTCCACTGTGCCCTGGACACCAACTGCCTGGCCACTCCTGAACATGCCAAGCACGCTTGTCTGTGGCCTTAGCAACTTGAACATTTCCTGCAGACACCCACACAGCTGGCTGCTTCACCTAAGTCCCCTCCTCACAAGCCTACCTGACCATGGTCTCCCAACGTGCACCTGCCACGTTCCCCACCCCTGACCCAGTGGGGCCTGACGCACCTCCAGCCTGCGTGTGCTGCAGGCGTCAGGGCTGGGTTTTGTTCCCTGCTCCATTCTCTGGGACAGGGCCCGGCACCTGGCAGGGGCTCGCTGTACAGTGACTACACTACTGAGCCCCATGCCTCACCCTTCATGTATGGAAGCCTTACTCGGGCTTCCCACCTTCCCACGTTTTACCCACTGCAAAGGTAACTGTGACTCTCACCTGCCACGATTCCCCTTCTCGGTTGCGCCTCCAGCTCCCGTCTCCGGGAGCACCAGCCCCTGCCACTCCCACCAGGGCCCCTATTCAGAGCAGGCATCACTAAGGTTCACCTGGTCAGAGCAAGCGCAGGTCCATGGGGCAGGAGAGACAAGGAGGCAGAGAGCAAGTGTCACCCAGAGGGAAAGGTGGGAGGGCAGAGGGGCCCCTCCATCCCTGGGGCCAGGGAATCCCAGGATTTCTCCATAGGTTGACAGCGACATGCAGGAATCTGGCCGAAACTTCCAGCACCCTATGGAGTCGGTCCTGATGGAGTGGTGGGACTGGGGCACAGGCAGGTGCCAGAGCGGCCTAGTTCTCCCTGACAGGTGGGAGGCTGGCAGCACCCCAGGGAGGGAAAAGGAGGGGCCCTTCCTCCCGGTCAGAGAAGCGGAACTCGGGCCAGGGTGGGAGGGGGTCCTGTTTTAGCTCTTGTCATCCTGCGCTGGGGGTGGAAGTGTTAGGTAGGAAGTTAGGAATCAGCCTGTGTGTGAGAGGGGCCTGGGCATCTGCGGAGGCTCACTTTGGAAGCAGCCCAGTATTTACACTTGAGTCCTGCCCGGACCCTGTAACCTTCCAGGTGGTCCCAGGTAACAGCAATAAAACCACTGCATCCTTCCTCCAAGGCACGCACCCTAGGGAAGCGCCTCTGCCAGTGCCAGGCGGGTCCCCAAGCAAGGAGCTTCCTAATTTACACTCAGCAAACCCTTTGTCCTGGGGGAGGAGGTAAAGAGGAACGAAGTGGACCCCTCCCTTGGAAGCCTCAATCAGAACAAAGGCCATGCGTGCTTGGGTGCTCGGCTCTCTCCGCTCCCGCTGAGCCGCCTGCCTGGCCTGCCAGGGGTTCCCCTCCATTTAACCGTGGAAC